AATGATAATAATTTCAATAAAAGAAGAGGGAATTTGTTTACCTAAAAATTTTTCTTTTTTAATAGTTAAAACAAAGAACTTGAAATTATGGAAAAAAAATTTTCTTTTAATTACCTTAACTCTTTTAAAAGGTTCATATATTATAGTTTAAAAGGTTCATATATTATAGTGGAGATTAAATGAAACTTCTCAATGATTAATTATATCAACGAATAGCAATGATTATGATAACATTATGATGGTAATATGGTTGATGATATGATTTAGATTTTGTTCATTTATAGGAAAAATTTGATAAGAATAAATCTCTTGCTTACATACACATATTATCATTATTATTACATATTATCATATATATATCGTATTATAGAAATTATATCAATTAAATAATTAAATTTTGATCGAAAAGTTAGAATAATTTGAAGAAATTTTTTCTACAAATTACTTTTGTCTTTTTTGGACTTTTATTTTATATACCATAATAAATACTAAGGAATAAATATTGGAAGAAGCCAATTAATGAACTTATAAATTAACTTTAATGACTGAACTGATTATTTTAAATATTATAACAATACATTTCACTATATCAAATTGATTTCAATGACAATTTTTTTCCTATACTTTCCGGTTGGAATAAATCCGTATTTTCTCCAAGTTCTCTAAATCCGTATTTTCTCCAAGTTCTCTAAATCCGTATTTTCTTCAAATTCTTCAAATTCGTATTTTCTCCAAATTCTCTTATTTATTTAGTTATTTAAAGTAATTGAGTTCTCTCATTCATTTATAAGATAATTTAAAAAATTCGGAATGAAATAAACAATACTTGCGTAAATGTTCGTTGTCATAATTACATTTCTTTTTCCTTCACAAAATTATTGTTGAAATTTAAATTGGAAAAATAAATTAGTTTTAGTGAAAGTATTAAAAATCGATTAGCCTAAAGAGAATAATTATTGTAGAAGTTTAATCACTTTGCTTCTAAAATATTCTGAAACATTGCCAATAAATAAATTTTATTCATTAAATTGAAAATGAAAAATTTTAATTAATTAATATAGAAACAATTATTTAATCTCTAATTGGACAAAAGAACTTTAACTTGTTTGGTGCTTTTGCAATTTCTTGCAAACTAATGGAATGGAATGCACACAAATGGTACTAATATGATATCTGATATGAATGGGTCACTTATCTTGCTATTATCATTTGGTTTTTACAAATTCCATCACTTTACAACCGTTCCTTATTATCATAATTGGCTCCATCATTGATTACAAATATCGTGAAGGAATTGAAATTCTGAAGTTTTAATGCTGACAGTCTTAGTTTAGCTAATTTATCCTTTCCATTTGCTTATCTATATTTTTCTCCATATCTTCTCTTTATTTATCGTCCATGCTAAATGGCTTCATCTTTCTTTTCTCTATTTTTTTTACTATCAGAGAAAGGATCGAATTGATTTATAACAAATGCCTCAATGATCTCCTTTAAATCATTACTATTACTATCAGTAGTGTGTTTATTGAAAGCTGTTAATATGATTAGTGCTTCTCTTATCATTGTTAATATTATCATAGATTGTGACTATATTATTTAATCATCTATGAACATTTTTATCATTATTTAGTTTATAATTAGTTGATTTGTAATTAATAAAACAATACTATTAAATATATAACAAAAAGTAAATGAAATTAAAATTCATTTGGAAATGTATTTTGTTTCTTTTTATCATTTCTAAAATTTTACTTTCTTCTTATCTTAAACAAAATTCTTTTCCCATCTTCGTTAAATTTTATTGAAGATGATATGTGGTGTATTTTCATCATAACTGAAATAGGAAAAACTATTTCTGAACAGCTGTTACTATTCCACCTCCTTCCTCATATTTCTTCGATTCTTATCCTGTTTATTTCAATTCTCATCTTTCAAAATTTCACCATTTATTATTCTATTCTTCAAAATTTATTTCTGTTAAAAACAAAAGATTTAATTATAAATTGTAAATATAAATAATAATGAAAAATTATTATTAAGAAAAAATGAAAATATATTGAAAATTTTAGTTGTTTTGTGAAAATTTCAAATTAACTAACGAAGAAAGTTCAAATTGTGGCATTCAAAAATTATACATGTTTATTGTGATTTTGGCTGTGATAACAATGAATTCGTTTGGATGGTTTAGTACCACAGCAACAGCAACAGCAACAATGATGGCGCTGGCAGCATCAAATCATGCTAATCCTGAAATTATCAATGGTTTGTTAATTAATTTTTTTGACAGATTTCGTTTTTTTTTCTTGTTTGTTTATTTATTGATAAATTAATAGATAGACTGAAAAGAGAAATGGATGAAAAAGTTAGAATGGTTAGGCTTAGCATAAGCTTCCTTTTTCATTGTGATCGACAATGTTGCAATGATATATGTATTGCTATGTACTGAAGAATCCTAAAATTATTACTTCGAAAATTTGAATAATCTTTTGATTGCAAAAACTTATTGAAAATTTTGTTTTAATTTCAAAAAATTTTTTAATGAATTATTAATCTTAAAAAAATTTAGAGATGCTACATGTACCAGAATTAAGATACGGTAGGTGTGGATAAATTTTCTGTAAATTTCTGTCACTTAAATTAAACTATATGTTTGCTTATGATGAAATAAAATGTTAAATATATGAATTAGAATAGATTTGACCATTCAGAAATCTGTCTTAATTCGCAATCTGCAGCATTTATTTAATCGATTCGCAATCTGCAATATTTCTTTAATCAACCGAAAAAAATTGTCGTATATTTGTAGTCTGATAAAATGAAATTATCCAAATTAAAAACACTGAGAAAATCCAACGATTAATAAAACAGAACGAAAGAATTTAAAAATTAGCATAACAAATTTTTTTAAAAAAGATCGAACAAATAAAATGAGTAGAAAAGAAAGGCCAACAAAATTTACAACTTTGTTTTCCTTATTTCTTTTTCACTAATTTTTTCCTAAAAACCTAAAAATAGCATAACTATTATTTTTCCTTTCCATTTTCAGTATTATCAATCATTTATTTGTTTTAGTAAAAGTTTTTTTTAGATTTTAAAATTTTCAGATTTCTCTTTTCGTTTTTTGTAAGATAAGAAATATGTTGGATTATTAATAGTTAAATGAAATTTTATGATGTAGAAAATTAAATAGAAATTGCAACGCAAGCATAGAAAGCAGATGGTATTTTATGGTTACGAAGAGAAATTGCAAAAATTTTCATTTCAGAATTGCCATAAAAATGGATTTCAATAGCAAAAAATTTGTTAAAACTTCTATCAATCCAATTTTTGCAGATAGTTTTTGCTATTCAGTTAACATGCAAACTACCGATATTATATCATTTTATCATTTCTATCAGTTGCTATTTGATAACGAATTGTATAGTTTAAAAATAATAAATCTTCATACAGTATTGTTTGAGCTCCAGGCAGTATTGTATGAATTCTTATAGTATTGTATGAGCTCCAGGCCCAGTTAATTTTCATCATACAATACAGTATGCTATAGATTCTAAATTCACTATATCTTCTCCTCACCTGCATGGATTCTAGACCTATACGAGAGTTATTTTCATCCATAATAGCAAGAAAGATATTCAGCAAAACAAATTTGCATAACCATTCTTACATTTCATTTCCTTATTTTTTCTTTTTCTTACGATACTTTCTTCATCTATTCATTTATTCGCTCAGTAATTTATTCTATTTCTTATTAAATTATATATAAGCATTTTAATCTAATTTACAAAATTCCTAAATAACTAATATTAATTTATGAATTTAAAAAATAAACAAAACTTCATTTTTGCAACAGAAAAACTTTTCTTTATTCAACAATATTAATCTCTTTATTCAACGACAATTTATGCAATTTGAAATCTTTCTTAATTATGAAATAATTTTAGGAAAATGTTAAATTCATTCAATAAATTAGCAAAAACGTTTGTTTACATTAATAGTTTATTTAAGTAATTAGAAATTAATTTTAATGTAAATATAAAAAAGTTTTCCAATGTAAAACATTAATATAAATAAATGATAATTTATCTTATCTTATATGATATTATGCAACGATTGCAAATTTTATCGTTTTCATTTAAACGAAATGAAATGAAATGTAATTTATTATTAAGAAATTGAATGGGAAGTAATTTATCAAGTCTCTTCATATCAGATTTCTGCACATTTAAATATACTACTACTACTACTACTACTACTACTGCTTACTAATCTCTTTTCATCCCTTCCAAACATCTAAAATATTCATTAAATTTTAACTTCCCATACAAATTACTATTTGAATAAATTTAAATATTACATCAATTAATTAATCATTTCTAATCATTCTAATTCATTCATTTCAAAAAAAGAGAGAAGGATTGAAATTATAAAGGGATTTGTTAATAAATTAACATATTATCATCTCTTCCACGTTTTTTAAACTATTTCATATATCAGTTTAAGATTAAAATTTGCATTATTTCTCTCTAATCACTCTATCATTATCAAATGCTTTCTTCCGGACTGCAAAAATTAATTTATTTGAAAAATCAGAACGAAATAAAACAATAACATTAATTTCGGATTATACATTGCTAATAACATTTGTGTCATAAAAATATTACATCAATAAGATCATAAAAGGAAAAAACTTACTTTAGTATTTGGAATAGTTTAATATCTAATCTATTCTGACCTTTTAACCTTAATTACATTCTTATCCAATGCATAAAAGTAGTGCAGCAGCATTTTAAAGCTGATCAAAGTAAATTGAGTTGATCATTCTTTGATAGTAGTGGAAATTAAATCAGCTAATAATATCTGTCGAATAATTTTAGCATACAAATAAAGTCATTTTTAAAAAGGTTGAGTTACCTTCAATTCCTCCTAATTTAAAAATTTAATTTTTGATTTTTCAATTAATCATTTTATTTACTTTTAAATTTTTTGCAGCTCTTATGATGGAAAGTTTACGAAGTAATTTTGTGCAAGCATGTGATAGTGAACGAATTATATTGCATTGTCCAAAAAATACGCAAATTTTGCTTGAAAATATATTTTATGGTCGTTTGATACCAAGCCATCAACTTTGTCCCTCATCCAGTACACATCAACAATTATCATCCGATGAAGATATCAATTGTGATGTGATACAGGCTCATGCGGTAAGTTGAAAATTTATCATTTTTTAACATTAATATTTTATTTTTCCCCTTTACACAATTTCAATGTTGGAATCTTTCTAATCATTAATTAGTACAAAAGAGTAAGAAATAGAAGCGATGATAATAAAGATTAAATCACATTTAGTTAGGCATTTGTTAACCACTTGAATGACATTTGATTAGGCACTTGTTGACCAATCACTCTTTCCTAACAATGATAAATTGAAATTTGGTGCAATTTAATAAAATAAAATTAGCAATTGTTCTTGTAAATAAAATCTGAATGATTCATTACGATCATTTCATTGATTACATTTTGCTTTCAAATGAAATGATATGTTTAATAGTAAAGAAAACAATTGAGAGAGTGTTTGTTGCTGTTGTTGTCCATTTGTCCATTTGTCCATATGATTAATTAGTGCACGAACATTTATTACACCTTTAACAACTGTTCTCTACCTATAGTTAGTAGGAAGATAAGGAATTATAAAAATTGCAGTGAAAGTTAAATTTGCTTTTCTTTTCCTTTTTTTTAGTAGCATAATTTTAAATATACATTAAAAGAGTAAGATTTTGAAATTAGGATTGAAAAATTAAAGTATTACTGAAATTTGTTGATTAAAGATTAAAGATTGTTTACAGTTGGTGATAAAGAATGATAAATATGTGGTAATATTATCATTCATTTTGATTAAATATACTTCAGAGATTAGATAATAAGTGGTAAATGTTGAATAATTAAGAAATATATTTAAATTAAATTGTTTTATTTGAAGACTACATTGTTCGATTTCTTACTGCAGCATTTTTGCAAATGGCTGATTCAATATTACTTTTTTAAAATTTAAATTTTCTTAAAAATTTAAATTTTCTTAAAAATTTAAATTTCCTAACAATTCAACAAAAGATACTGTAAACTGATATAAATGTATAATAGTTTACAGTTTACAGTAGTTTACAAAAAACTATTATGAATGTATACCAGTTTACAGTAAGTATTATGAATTTATAATAGTTTACAGTATTTTTTGTTGAATTAATAGGAATTTTAAATTTTTTAAGAATTGAGTTGAGAGATAGAGAAAAATTTTTGAAATTAAATTTTATTTTTTAGCAATCTTCAAAGTATTATTAAAAAATCCAGCCAAAATTTTATTCATCTTTTTCAAATGATCTTTATCATTGCTGAAGAGTTTGTTTGATAAAATTTAGGAAACGATATTAACGTTATGAAAATGCTGCTGAAAACTTTGTTGACACAAAAAATTTCTTTTTTGCTTTGATTAATGATTTTTGGAAAATCGATGAGCAATGATTTAAAAGTTCCAAGGGAATAAATCTGCCACAATTGGAATATTTCAGCCATTGCTTACTCTATCGTTAAATATTTTGAGTTGACAGATAGAGAATAATTTTTGAAATTAAATTTTATTAAATTTTATTTTTAAACAAAAAGATCTTCTCATCTGATATAGCCATTTTACATTTGTCCTAACCTTTTCTTTTAAGAAGTGAAAAAAAACTTTATAATTTATAATACTCTCTTTCTCTGCAATCTTAAAAATATTAATTAGCCATTTTTATTAATTAATTTATTTAACAGCGCCGCTTAATTATTCAATACACAAGTGTTAAAAATAATTCGAATCAACTTGAAAATAATGCAAATGAAAGAATATAAAGTTGTATTTTAGCAGAGCTTATGAGATTTGTCATGTATTTTAGTAGAGCTTATGAGATTTATGACAAGAATTTACGACAAGAATGAAAAGCCTGGCTTTGTAGAGAAGGCCTATTATCACTGTCGATAATCTGCCTTAAAGCTTTTGAGAAAATTTCAACATTTTTTTGATCGCATTTATTTGAAAATCTTTCAGCTAAATGATTCTAAAGATTTTTCATAATTTTAAAAACAAATACCAATTAATTGTAAGTTATAATAATTGAAATATCATTTTTACCTTTCTCTTTCTCTATCTCTTTTATAATTCCTAATCTCTATCAAAATGTTTATGGCAGTGAATTTCTATCATAAACAAAGCGGTGTCTTCAAAAAAATAATAAAAGAAGGAATTTGTTTATCGTATTGGAAGATTAGTGTGAAGAGATGAAGAAGGAAATGCACCTGTATAATCTGTCCTAAATTTTAGAACAGATTTTGAACAGTTGGCATTGACCTCTGGTGGGAATATTTTTGAATACTTTCTGCTAAAATTACAAAAACGATCGGATCGATTTGAAATAGAATTTATTGGCAAAAGTTTATTCATTTTTAATATAATAAGAAATGATTGATTCATTTTCCAATTAAAATAGCAATAATTTTAATAATGTGGAAAATAATTGAAATTTTTTAATTGCCTACAATTTCTAGAAAATTCTGGAACAATGTCGTAATAAGAGAAAATGTAAAATAATGGTAAGGCCATCATTTTTTGGTACTGATCCATGTCCAAACACATTCAAATATCTTCAAATATCCTATAAATGCAAACCAGGTGAACAATTTTTGATAATTTTATTTGAAAGAATTTATTTTACAGTTTAAAAAAAAATTCGAATTTATTTGAAGCTAATAATTTTGATATGAAAACATTAAATATAAATTAAATTTCGAACAAACTGATTATAGTAATTCTAAAATAATATTTAAATGAGAGAGCGATACTATTATTACACATTTATAAATTAATTGTAACTATTATTGCCATTCTTTTTACTATTCATTCTATCACTAAATAATAATAATAATTATTATTAATAATAATAATAATAATAATAATTTATAACAAAAAAAAAACGAATAATTTAAACTTTATGATTTTATTTTAAATAATTTAAAGCATCATTCGATGAAGAATTATTTTGCGAAGGATCAACAATGAAATTGAGCTGTAAGCAAAATAAAAGATTGGTTATTTATTCGGCGCATTATGGCCGAGCGGTTCAGGGACGAACAATGTATTGTACACCTCCAAATACTCCAATTACTCAAGGTATATATAATATATATTTTTCACTTTATATTTTTGAATTGAATTAATTGTTTATATTATTGAATTAATTTTTGAATTATTTGAATTATATAAAGTTAAACTTCACATTTTTATAATCCATTCATTTTGAATTATTTGTCAAATTCAGTTGACGTAGATTGAAACGTAAATTGAAAAACATATGTAAAACACATTAAGTTTAACTTTCGAACATCACTTCGACTTTTGAATGCGATAGGAAAAATATCAGAGGTTGAAGTACTAGCTAACACCGTTAGTGAAATTAACATTTTAGAGAAATTCTGAACTTCTTGATTATCATTCATTTTGAATATATTCATTAATTTGCTATCTATTAATTATCTTTAATGATATAATGCTGTGATAAAGTTAATAATTATCCTTTTATTTGCTTAGAATAAAAAGGTTTGGAAAATTTTAAACACAAAAAAATCTTACGTACGTAGAAAATGTACGTGGAAATATTATTGGTTTGATGAAATTTTTTAAGATTAATAAAATTTAAAATCTTATAATTATTATAATATCTAAAAGATGAACTGATGAAAATCGTTGCATATATTCAAATTTTATTTTTAATTTTAAATTTCACTCTAATATTGCTAATGGAAGCTTTTTAATTAATGAAGTTTTTGTGACAGTTCCTTGCATAACTAATTGTGAATAGAAGAAAATTTGGAAGATAAATTCCTTAATTTAAGCAAGCATATTTTTCCTAATTAATTTTGAATTTTAAGCTTGCTAGCTAAATAATGTAATATTTCTTATTCGATCTATAATTCTCAAAACATTTATTAAGTTAGAAAAACACGATAAAATTTGAGTAAAAATTTAATCTAGATTTTTCTTTTAAGACATATTTTCTGAATCTTTTTAGTGTGAAATCTAAATTAATTCACTAATTAACAAAATAGTTACATTAAATTAAATTTAATTAATGATTACTAGTGATGACAGACAAGCTGATAACTATTTTATGAATTATCTTGAAGTCTCTTCTTTTCTACCAAACTTAAATTGGCTTCGTTCGATTTTACTTGATAAACTTCAAAAAAACATATATTCAATCTTTAAGTTTTTCTGTTCAAATATCACTATTAAATTTTTCACTCTACCAATTTGATTATGAATTCAAATATGTTATATTGATTTTGTAAGTGAAAAATTTAATTTATTACTTATTGTTTTAGTCTTTCTTTAATAATCATAATCGTTGAATTTTAAAATTTATCCTTTTAGGTATTATTTAGCTGTAAGATTTTAAATTTTATTAATTTTAAAAATCCGTTCATTGCAGATTGTATGATAAATGTATTGGATCAGATACTCTATGATTGTCATGCACAAACGGAATGTACGGTATTAGTGAACGATGAACATTTTGGCAAAACCGGATGTAAAACAGGGATGCAAAAATATCTCAGCCTTATTTTCATGTGTAGTATGTTTTTAAAGCTTAAATTTCATTTTAAAAAAAATCAAATTTTGTTTACATCAATGTAGTAGTGGTCAAGGCAAGGAAAAGATCACTGAATGACCACTCTCTATTAACTACAATAAAACATTTGTTTACTTCGCTTTTCCATATTAATCAAAAATTTATTTCATTATTAAATTTTTTTTTTAATTCCCTTTATTATTTTATGATATCACTTAATCACTTATCACTTATTTCCTCATATCTAATCTAAAAAAGTATAATGTCAGATTGAATTAAAAAAAACTTTAACGAAACTATCATTTCGATATTTCGATCTAATTCTCCTAGTTTTACTTATCTTTCTCATTTCTACAACCTTTTCAAATTATTTAAAAATTCGAATTCATTAGGAAAGTTTTTAGATCTGTCTAAAGTAATTTGAAATATTTATTGTTTTATAGTGAATGATGAGATCTTCAGTGAAGCAGCTATAATGGGTAATTTGGATGCAATGAAGAAAATCATTTCGGTATTTCGATTCAATTCTTCTAATTTTATTTATTTCTTTCCTTTCTAACAGGCTTTTTAATTATTTAAAGTTTAAATGTATTAAGAAAGTTTTTAGATATTATCTATTATTTATTACTAAAATCGATTTGCTAGTGTATTGTTCACGTAATAAAAGATATACCTCTGAAGTGATATGAAGTGATATCCTATCAGATAATAGTTAATGCATAAATGTTAAATTGTTGATTGTTTATCTTATTTAATTTTATCTTAACAATTTGTTTCATGAAATATACCTGTGAAGTGATATAGTGATATGAAGTGATATCCTATGGGATAATAGTTACCTCATAAACGTTAAATTACTGATTGTTCATCTCATTTCATTTTACCTTAACAATTTGTTTATACTATAAAATATATTTATTATATTTTAGAATTTGCCACCAATGAAAGTATCAAAAATGGAAGCAGCATTTGTGAAGGAAGATGAGCGCATTTTTCATATAAAAGATGATCCTAGTCTTGGATATAAAAATATCCAAAAAATTTCTTCCTTCGAAAAGAACAGAAATGGTAAGAATCTATTTTTGGTATAAATTTGTAGTGTGAAGAAAATTTTTTGAAATTCTGAGCATTTGGAAGTTCTTATAATTTAGTATAAATTTTGCAGATTTTTTCTTCTTTTGAAACGATATTATTTTGAATTTATTATTAGTAAACAGTGACGAGGAATCAGAAGAGGAAGGCGCATTTGTCGTATCAAATCCAGTTGAAACAACTTCACCAAAAGATCTTCCTTTCAATGTTTTTGGCTTCATACATGATGTTATATTGGTAGTGCGAATAATAAAAGGTTTAATTATTCATATTAATTTTTGAGTAATTAAATCATTATCATCATAGCTTCGAGCGGTTTCTTTCTTTTATAAATTTACTAAAGTTCACTGATATAAAGTATCATTGGAATTTTGTATTAAAATTTACTTAATGATTTTCATTTAGAAAATTTTATTTCAGATAACAAAGAAAAAGTCTTATTTTGTCTTCTCCTAAGTCTTCTAGCAGGCCTAACAATGTTATTAATCGCTTGTGCAATATCCGGTTATTGTCGGCGTAGAGCAAAATGGAAGAGTTCAAAGATGAAAAATAATGAGGAAACTGTACAAGCTTCTAGATCAACAGAATTAAACACATTGATGGGAAATAATCGTTCACCATCAGGTACTTTATTTATGCTTAATTGTTGTTAACTTTTAGCTTCAATACTATATATATTGGTAAAGCAAGCAAACTGGATTACGGTCATAACCAGTACCACAAAAATTGAATTGTTTTAAGTTTTAACTTTAATACTATATATATCAGTAAAGCAAGCAAACCGGATTACGACAAAAATTGAATAGTTTTCGACATTTTTCACATTCCTTATGATCGTATCCTACAGGATGATTTAGTTTAGGGAATCAATAAACCTGATAAAACCATCAAACATTGAGAGAACATTCAAATAATATTTAAATGATTTTGAACATTCCATCACTGGATATGGTTGAATCCAAGCAAACAACATATGTGCTGAAAAGTTCAAATATTTGAATTTAAGAAAAATTTTTTGAATTTATTGAAAATGATTGATATAATCCCTCTCTTTACTTTTCAGTCTTTCTGGATTCCAGCAGTAGAATTTGTTTTGATATTGGCGATCTATCGAATAATAAGGAATCATTTCTGCGCTTTACGCAATTAGCACCTCTACGAATACCGCAAAATATTCATGGCTATAGTTAACTATAAATTATGCCAAGATGCTGAATTTCTTGATGAATTTACCTTGAAAAGAATTCCAGTTAATATCTGCACGTTTGGCAAGAAAACTTTCTTCAATGAAATTTCGAATCTTTGAATCTAAAATTTCAAATTTAATCTCAATTATAAGATCTCTTTTTAATTTTTAAATTTTCATTAACATATAAAAATGTATTTTTTTGAAATGTCTATATTATGTGTAAGAAGAGAAGTGATTTGCATAGAAAATTCGACGATAAATTATTTTTAAAATAAGTAAAAATATTTGAATACTAAACCGAAACATAGAGTCTAATGGAAAGTATTATTCTTTCCAATGGTATTATTAAATTTAAAATTTGAAAAATATTGAATTACAAATTATTTCAGTCTTTTAACAATACAAAGAGAAGCATTACTTAAGTATATTTTCTCTTCGTTATTTTTGAAATGAAAGAATGGAAATTAAATTTATTTTGATTCAAACAAATCACAACTTTTCTTAGCAATGAATAATTTCACTAAACAAAAATAATAATTTATTACCTTAATTTAATTATCGCTTATCTCATTTGAACTGTTAAAAATGATTACCTGCAATCAATACTTCGAAAATGTTTTATAAATGTTTATTTTATGATGATAAACTAATAAAATGGTTGAATTTTTTATTTGCTTGTATACATAGTCAAGTATTCAATTAAGTTTCCGAATTTGGAAACCTCGGAATCATTTATTTTTTACTGAAAACTTACGTCCTCCTAGAAATGGTTAATTTGATTTTATCTTGTGCATTGTTCAGAAATCTCATTCTAAATATATCTAAAATTGCTTACGGAAGAAGTGGAAATGCCGAAAATAGCAATGGTAAGTTAAATAAATCAACGATTCCAGTAGGAAGTTTCGAAGAATTAAATTTGTGCCGGAACTCAAATTCAAATTCTAACACTGAATTTACTATAGTTTCAAGTCTAATTAAGTCCTTCTAAAAGTGTTCCAATCCTTCAAAAATGTTAGAAAGTAAGTCTTTCGACTTTTCATTCCAAATTAACAATTTCTACTTTTCATTCTCACTTCTAGTTAATTCATTTCTTTAAACAATTAGCTGGGACGTCGAGTTTGCATATCGCATCCCTTTGGAGCATTTGCGCGCGAATATTGTGAAGTTCGTGTGATAATAGCGCCGGCTTGTGTTACTTTGGTGACGTTCCGGTGGATAGTACATTTCGGACAGCCTGTATCACGGAGCGGTCTGATAGAGTATAATATTCACTGCTATTTCTTCTTGAGCTGATAACATATGATAATAGCTTTAGATTTCTATGATTTCATTTCTCCCAGTTGCAAAAACGCTACATTTCTTTTCACTTGTTACGATTTGCAGTATTTACATTCTAATTAATCCTGCACTTCCATTATTATTGTAACAGGCGACTATTTATAAATTGTTGGGGAATAAGCTATTAGAAATTCCATCATATTCAGTAATTTCGTTTTTTTCCAGGAGAACAGAAATCATAAAGAATGCCTTCAAATACTATAAAATATCCAGAAGGTTGTAAGCCAATCAGTACAAATATTAAAAATACAGAGTTGTTGAAGCGATTGAAGGTTGTTTTCAATAATTCATTTTATTTAAACGCTTCAATTATGGAAATACTGGGAAGGGAGAGGGGGAAAAATAATTTAAATACTCGCCTCATGAATGTATGACTCAAGCTTTACTCTTATTAATTATTAAATATTATACCTCTCAGAACATTGGTAATGCTTTTTTCTTTACTCAGGATGACAAAAAAAGTCATCGTGCAGATGTTCTGAAACAATGCAGTAAGATGTGCATCTCGAAGATTATTTCTGATTTTCAAGACCATTTAAATGACCTTGACTTGTTTTCCTCTATTTATTTTAGATTTTATCTGAAGTGTTGAAACGTGAGGTCACAAATGAAGAAGCTGATGCTCCGAACCGCTACAAAGATTTGATGTTTCATTTGACTGATTCACAGTTTTTGAACAACAAAAATAGTGATGTACAGTTGTTGTTGACGTGTTGTATCGCAGATCTTTTTCGGGTTTTCGCACCAAATTCACCAATTGAAAGTCTCTCTCTGCTCAAGGTTGGAGTAAAAACAGTTTTGATTCAAAAAAGAAATTTAAGGAAGTGGTTGATTTAATAGAACAAAGGAACAAATTAAACACAGAAAAAAGATAATCACCTATGCTTTCGTGCATTACGATAATCCAGTAAGTGCTGGATTCAAATTCATATTTATATATATGGAAACCCAAAAAAAGCTGGGTTTCCATATTTTCGAAAAAGCAAATTAGTGAGCAATATTTGGATTCATTCTATATCAATTTATTAATAAGTTATAATTAACAGAGACTGTGACGAATTTGTATTATATTTTAAAATCGTATATCTTTAAATCGAAATCCCATTGCAGGATGTGTTACTATTTATAATAACAGTAGTTGGAAATATTCCAACTAAGGGAAGTTCGACATATCAGTATTATTTATATCTTCTTGAGGTTGTTGCTTAATAACAATAATTCTTATAGTTTTATTATAATTTTCAACAATCTTTTTAAGTTCATTTGCCGAAATTAGATGAGGAAAGAAGATTCCTTTTACCTGCTATTCATTCGCTCTTTCCAGTAAAAAAATTGGATAATTTTTATAATCGTAGTTTAGGCCATTCTTCAACGTTGTACTAGGAAATACATTTCATATTTCTCTTTTGAGAATGTGTTTTTGAGCGGAAAATCTTTAAAAGTTTTTTTTTTTTTACTATTTGCCGTATGAGTTTTCAGAACATTTCGGTAGTAGAAACAATGCAAATTGCTCTAGAACTGGGAGATGATGCCTATGTGATTTTGCGGCAGTTAATCAAACAATCTCTTAATAGTGTTAACGAGAAAAATGCTGATGAACACATTCAAGGAATGCTTATGGGAATATGCTCTAAATTGATCCAAGGAGTTGACCAGATTTCAAATATCGTCCTGGACGCAATTTTCTTCTTCATTGTGCAACCCCAAAAAGTTTGCTTTTTTATTTGATAGTGTTTTCAGCGGCATTTGAATTGACTGATTTGATTTCATAATATTCAAGATTGAAAAATATTTATTTGCAAGAGCACTTCTTAGTCACTTTGGTGTGTTACTTTCAGATAAATAATCGTGAAGCTTATGTTATGGCACGTGATTTGATTCGAACAAATCAAACAACATTGGAACCATATGTTGCTTTGGTTTGTTTCCTGCAATAGTTTTGTTACTTGTATAAAAGAATTTATATTCAAACACTTGTTCTAAACGAGTTAAAATATTTTCTGAAAAATCGACTAAATTTTACAAAAATTGGTCCAAAATAAATTGTTTTGCTATCACCTATATCACACACAAATTCGTATTTCTGTGACAAATTATTTCGAACTTCAGCTATTAAAGCGTGGATTGGAAACAGGCATTTTGGATGAATGTGAATTAATTTCTCAGAAAAAATTATACGATTTGATTTGCGAGCTGCATAAAATTGCTCCGGAAATGATTTCCTCCGTACTTCCAATATTAGTCAATCAGATGCATGTAATTTAAATTTTTTGATTTTGTCGATGAGTTTGAACAAATGAAATTTTTATGATTTATGAATGATGTGATGGCCAGCTATGCCATTGTAAAATTCTTGTGCAATTGTTGTAATCCAGTGGTTGATGAATTTTTGATTATTTTTAAAAAGAATTCAAATAATGGAATAGTTGAGGTTTATTGAATTGAACTGAAGTTCATTAAAATTTATTAGATGTCTGCTTAATATGATTTCCGATTTCTCTACTTTTGCAATTTATGTTTCATGAATTTCTAGAGTGAAGATGCTGTTGTGCGTCGTGAAGCCGTTCGTTTATTTGGGAATCTTTTTGGTGATCCGAATTCGCGTATGGCTGAAGACGAACCCGAAGTTTGGAACGAATATATGAAACGCTTTGCTGATGTGAATGAAGAAATCCGCCGTATTTGTACCAGAAATGCTGAAGATATTCTCGTTTTTCATCCAGAATTAAGGGGACAAGTGACAGGTTTCGTAGGACATTACTTTTTAAGCAGAAGTAGATTTAAAATATTCTCTTGTTATTCTAGATAGATTTTATCGCTTTTTATAAATTTCGCTTGTATTTCAAACGCTAAACTGGCATATGAAAATCGATGCTTGATGTGTTATTTATTTCGCTTTGATCACACTATGAAGTAACTTATTAACCAATGTTTTAGAATTGGGAAAGTTTGAAGTTTCAGATGCTGTTATTTTGCGTTGTCAGGATCTGGATGAGAACGTACGTTTGGAAGTCTTTACGATGGTTCAAGGACTGGCAAAACGGAAATTCGAAGCTTTAAGTGAGAGACTTCTTATACATGTCATCGACAGAATTCGAGATAAAAAGGTAAGAAGTCATATTTGTAGATTTCACCAGTTGATAAGTTTTTGTGTGTATTATTTCTTTTTGATATGATATATGCTTTTTTGACTTTCAAATATTATGCTTTAGCTTACTGTGAACTGAAATTGATGTTTAATTTATTTAGATTGACATAATCTGAATTTTTAACTTCCAGCTCTTATTGGCTATTTATTTATTGTTTGCGCCGTAAAAAAACCAAATCTGTATACTTTGTAGTAAGAATTATTACAAGTCATATTTCAAGTTTAAAGTCATATGCAGCATGTATTTTTTCATTCAGGTCAGAGTTCGGCATGCGGTGATTCGTGGACTTTCCCATCTTCATCGTTCAATTTTTAGTAACGATGAGTTGACAAATTTGGAACGGTCCTCCGTCTCTAACATATTCTCTGCTATTATGAATCATTACTATCAACCACTTTTGGAGGATAGGTATCGATATCTTCACTTTTTCGTACATTTGATTCCATATATAATGTCTCACTGTGTAAATTTCGGAGTGGAATTTTGGAATTTTATTAATGCATTTAAATATTTAAAATGCTGTTCAGAAATCTGTGATACAAATATATTTTTTGTAAGAAATGGTGTCAGTATATTGTAACAAGACGGAAAAGAGAAAAGACGAAAAAAAAAGATTTTCAGCGGAAAAGATTTTCAGGTTATTAACGGAGAAAATATTTGTTCTTAATTTGATTCCGTACAAACTAGATGAAGGCAAACGTATGAAAATATTGGTTGATATTTTCTTGAATATGAACAATTATGCTATAAAGTTGGTTGAAATTATTTTATATTCGTTAACTGCGCAAATACAGTACCTTGTCTTTAATTTTGTCCTTCCCTCTATGGTAGTAAAAAGGAGAGGAATATTTCTGAGCATTACATAACTTAACGAAAATTTTTGTTTGGCCTTCGTTTTATTTCCGTAGATTTCTAAAATTTTTAGACCTTTGGAACAAATTTTGATGAAGCAATCATTTCAACGACGGCTTTTACGTAACCTGGTAAAATTGATTGAACAGAGCGTTGAACCACAAAAAGGGAAAACAATCGATGATGTTATCAGAGGCATCGTTGAGTGCAATCCCGAACCAGCAAAATTTTCGCTTGTTTTTAGGTAATTTCTTTGAAGATGAGGTCTTTTTTCATTATTTCAGTTATGTGGGAAATTACTTAGAAGTTATGTTTAATTATATTGTTTTACAGGCAGTTTATGACACACTTAACAAATGACAAGCAGATATTATTGTCGTTGAAGTATATTACGGGAAAAGAATACACCTGCCAAAAGATTGAGTCGGCTGTTGTAAGTTATTCAATTAAATCAAACCGTCCATTTCAGTGCAATTCTTTTTATTTCTCATACAATCTTTTTCTCTCAGATAAAACGCAAATTTCTTGCCTATGCAACCGCGCTTATCGGATATGCTAACAGCATTTAATGAAAGAAGATGAATTTATCTGTCTTGGATAAATGGTTTCTCCTTTTCAGCTGGCTTGTATTATGTGTATAGTCATTTGTTTAAGGTGGAAATTTTACAACGCTTACGAGATTATAAAGTATCTATGGAATGTTTGGATGCGGTGAGATGTTTGTTTGAATGCTGTTCACCGCTTCAGTTTGACGGGACCGCAGTATCGGTATTGGTTGATATCGTAATCACGTTAATTAAAGAGAGTATCGATTCCAATCAATTTAATCGTCCCCATAAATTAATTAAACTTCTGAAGGTATTTTTCTGTTTATTTTGTACATTTCTACATTAGTATGATGAAAGATTTCAGATCTTAGAGTTTTTCAGTAATATTGAATTAATAATATTCTAATAATATTGAACTCATTTTTTTCATAGATTTTCGAATTATGTTAATCTAAGCTATTTGGTTTCCAGACAGTTGCAGGTGCATACCCACACTGCTTTGTAAATGGACCTACATTGGAAGGTCTGGTAAAATTGATCGAGATCGAAGGCTTTTCCGAAAGTTTGTTTTTAACATTTTTGAAGGAAGCAAAACAAACTCATGATACAAGTGATTTCGAGAGCATGACTTTAAAAAATTGATGGTCCATATGAGAGGTGGCATGTATTAGCCGCAATAGATATTCTCTTCACTATCTTCTCTCTTGTTGATTTGCCTCTGCATTTTCCATCTGACAACTCATTCTGTCGATGTGTTTTGTCTTGATAAAATAGGAAATTTAAAAGCAAAAAGCGATTAAGTTAAGATTAAATAAATTATATGAGAAATTATGCTGCAAACAACAATAAAGATAAAGTTAATGTTTTTTGAAAGCATATCACATCGCGTTTTGCTTTCAACCTGGAGCTCAATTCCAAGTTCGTTAGTCAGAATTCTTTGTAGCAAATTGTAATTCTTAATTTTTTCAGCAGAAAATTTGCTTGTGCTGGTGATTACAATTTCTACTGAACTTAAGCAACAACAGCTTCTAGCTAAAGATATGATTGATAAATATGTGAAGTACTGCGAATGCATTAGTCTTAATGGCACTCCGCGTGCTGCGAAGTATGCTGTGCGTTGTATTGCAAGGTTGTTGAACACAGAACAAGCTCGAGCAAAACTTGGAAACATATTTCAGGTGAGTTCCAAGCTTGCCAAGATGACAGCTTCGAGCGAAATGCAGAGAAAATAAAATTTATTTCAGATATTTTCAAAAAATCTTTTGAACTTGTGTTAGATTTAGTTCTGATGATAGAGAGTCGAATATGAGCTAAAATTGATTTCATTAGGTTATAGTCAGAATTATGTGTAGAATCATTATTTTTACTTTGCTTTTAGGATTCTTTGTTGCATATTTCGGCATCTGATCCACAATGCTGTACAGCACTTAAAGCACTAAGTTCTTGCGTAGAAGTGGATACTGTGCAGTTTTGCAACGAACTTCTTGAAATACTCAAAGTTTGTCATTTTACACTTTTCTAAGTTGTCTGAAGTCAAAAAATTGTAAATTAGATTCTTAATAAATTAATATAAATGTAGACTTTTTCAGACAAAAATAATGGATTTATTGCTTGACCGAAGTGGCAGTAGTATAATTTTTAATCAACAGAGCAATGCCAGTAATTGTAGTGAGCAGTTCGATGATGGAATAATTTGCGATGAAAATTACGTAGAGATTAAGGTTTATTAGCTTTCACAACTGAAAATAAGTCATATTTTATGTATACCGCTTTCATTTCCAATTGAAATATCCTTATTAATTCTGACCATACGAAAGAAACAAAGATTATGGATCATATTATTTCTAAAATTCGAAGCAAAAACTATTTGAGAAGCACTGTCTGAAATTCGTCGCGAATTTTTTGGTATCCGTAGCGCAGTTCTCGGAGTGTGATGTTGAACCGTTGGCCAAAAACCTTCTGAAGCTGTATTCGACTTTGTTGGAAACGAAGGGAGATATTTTCGAGAAACCTTGTGGGTAGGTTTAATTTTTTAGATTTCATTTACACCGTGGCTGATTGTGAATGTTAATGCGTGCCGAAGCAGTGCTTTGCCAGATGCGAATGCGCATGGATATCTTTCATAAGTACTGTTGAACCACTTTCTTGTTAAATGTAGCTATCAGATCAAATTGAAATGCATTTCAGTAGGTTCAGGCGATAAAAAAATTCAAAACAAGTTTGATATTCATTACAGCCGAACTCATATGGCTGAATTTCGCATACTGGCAGGAAGTTCAATGTTAAAACTTGCAACAAAACCACGATACGCGAAATTTGTTACCGCTGATGATTTAATTACACTCTCTGCACTTGCTTGTGTAAGCTCTAAATATTCTGATCTACATTAAAATTATAAATTTATCTCGAAACTCGGAAATTTTCCTGAAAAAGTTCAAAATCAAATTTGTTGCAGTTTTGCAGATTTGGTTTTTAGTCTTTTCAGGAAAATTTTAGATACTTTTATAGTTTTGACATGGATGTAAATTTTATTCTGTTGAACCGAGGTTTAGGCGCGAAACAATCTTCATCGCTTTTAGGATGAAGAATCTGATATGCGGCATCGATTTTTCGGTAAGCTTCATAAACATTTAATGGCCCTTCAGCTGCGTGTTGAATACATGGGTCTGTTTGCTCTTGTTACTTTATATGAAGATGCCGATTTCCAAAATAAGATGCGTGTTTTGATTGATGCGAATATAACAAAAAGACGAAAATACTTGGAAAGGTCGGAAATGAAAGGTAAATTGATTTGCTATTTTGATGTTGTCATTTTTAGCATAATAAGAAAAATTTTGGGTAGAGTTTTATGGGATTATTTCGACATCATTTTACAATGTCATTTTAGAATTTGCACCATATTACCAACCTGAATATTGCATTGCATACGCAATTTACATACTTGCAAAGCTTCCATCATTTGAGTCTATTAAATATGAACCCGAATTACGGCGCTTATCAGAGTGAGTTTGATTTTCGCAGTTTATGTCTCTAAATTTAATTTTCGATGTTTCTTGAAGTTACTATGTTTTGCAAATATATAATGTGTCATATTTGCTTTCCAGTTATTTTTTTTGCAGATCTATCTGGTTTTTGTTGGAAATTTTTAGTGCAAGAAAAGAACCGGGCAGTTTAGAATTTATTTACAACATATTCAAGGTTTATGTTTTCTCAGTGACACAGAATATTAAAAGAATATTAAATTTGAGCAATTTTCATATTTAAATCAAGTTCATTAGAGTTTAGATTCTTAGCTTTCAAATGCAAATTTATTTTGCAGACAATCAAAAACAGCACAGATTCAAAATTGCAGGACTGTACAAAAGAGGAGCTGCAACAAAAAAATGAGGTTCGTGAGATTATTTTTCAAGGATTTCATTTGGAATTTTTAGAATTCAGTCTTTTTGATTTTTATAATAAATTCTGACCGTTCATTAAATATCTTTTTGGAAGTAAGGTGTTATGTTATCTGATTTTTTTTCATTCCACATATTTTTAGAAAATTTGGGCGTTGTGTGATATTGGAATACTGTTACTGTCTTACCGAGTGAAGAATTTAATGAAGGATGTAGAAAGCAAACCACTGCTGAGTAAAAGATTCTTTTTGAACATGGGGAAAGTAAGTTTTTAAGTAGTCGTCAAATTTTTTAGAATATAGTTATGGTGCACCAATTAGATCATTTTTTTAATTGAATTTTATTGTCAAAATTCATCTTGACATACCGAAAAAAGGTAGGATTCTTTAGGCTGCTTAAAATAAAAATATTTTTTGTTGTGGTTGGAAGTAAATGCATCAATGAAGTTGTAATGATTTTTACAGAAATTCGCTCCTTCCTTTCAAAAAAAATAGTGTTTAATGATTTTATTCCTTCAGATTTTGACATTTGTGTAAAATTTGAAGGCTAATACTAAAGTATACGTGCCGGCATCGTTCGTCAAGCAGATGAAAGTAAAGAAAGCAAACACGAAGTATCAAAAAGCTGATACTACGAAAAGAGCGACTAAATCATGTGTACGAAACTCTTTGACAAATAATCCAAGGCAGTCAAGGACATCAAGGACATCCAGTGACCTGAAAGTTGGCAGCAAGAGGTATTATTCGCAGTTTCAAATTGAAATTTCATCACTTATATGGCAGCAAGTCTCAATTCCATGTACTTTTCAAATCTTTAAAGATTAAACACGCCTCGTGGTTTAAATAATGGAACTTTCAGAGTCATTAATAAGAAACATGTACGAAGTAATACAAGTCATAAAGTTCAGACGAACGATGTTTCTCTCGACAGTGAAATTGATGAAGTTATTGTTAAACGTTCTAGGCTTGTTTCTAAGGAAGAAAAACCACAACAGGTAAAGATTGATATATTCTCTTTTTTTTCAAATGGGATCTTATCCTAGTTTTAATGAAGTTAAAATTTTTAACTTCATCCCAAAATGTTTTTACGAAGATGATTTATTTGATGATGCTATAAATATTATTTCACAATGAGCTAAAAATAAATCAAAAGAAATCAGTTTTGAAAAAAAATTCCGAGCAAGTAGTGGTAACAGTCGGGTTTAGAAAAAGTCTTTACGTTTTTTTTCATTGTATATCGTAATGCTTGAAAGTTGTTTTCGAAGTTTTCGCCTCAACTGATGAGTTTTTAGGATTCATTAGGCTCGGGCCCATTGATAATGTAGGCAGTAATGCTATTTTAGTTTGTCTACATCAGGCTTCCTTACTTTGGAGCGTGTCCGTGAAGAATAGAAAAAAGGTGAGGAGACCAGCTTCATTGGAAAGCTTGAATGATGGAAGTAAACCCGAAACATCGGAAGCAAATCCTAGTGACGAGGATGATCGAAATATTCATGGTTCACTAGAAGATTGCGACTACTCACCAATTCGTCCAGTTCACGTCTGTCTTTACCAATTTGATATCATTTAAAGATTTTTTTGAAATTTTTACCAGTCAGTTTCAGAATTTGGAAACTCCTGGCTTTCAAAAAAAGCTTAGTGCGAAGTGTAACATGTTGATAAAAACTCCGAAACTTAAAGTTTGCACCTTTTAGATGAGAAATGTTGCCATTACTCATCAGCCGCCAATTACAAGTTCAACACCAATCGTCACCTCCAAGAGACGTGAAAAAATCGTAACAGCGAGTGAAAATAGTGTCGTTGGGCATAAGGTCAAAGATGATGTTAGAGTAGTGGCAACCAAGAAATTGAGCAAAGTGAAATCAAAAAATAGTGGCAAATGTGGTAAAATACGACAGTTAAGCACTACTGAAAACACAAAGCTGTCAGGTGAACAAGCTCGAACAAAAATACCGGAGACGGTTAGTTCTTAATTTTACGGTTTGGAATCTTTTTCCATGGTACGGTCCGGTTTTGCTGATTTATCCGATCTATATTTTTCCGTCTTTCTGAATCAGGTATTTTAAAATCCCTCGGAAGATCTTGTAGAAGATTAAAAGCAGCGTCGAGAAATTTGAAACTGTATAATTTAACTTAGTGTCATCGTATTTGATCGTGTCAAACTGGAAATAGTTCTTTATTACCCCGTTTACGTTTGCTACATATTGGCGAAATTTTTTTAATCTGTTCTTTAGCTAAATACTGCATTGATTTCTTATTCAGAGTGGCATAGCAACACGACTGCGTTCACGACGAACGGTAATTTCATTTCCTGCTCAGCGTCCGAATGTGCAAACAGCGAAGAAGTAGGAAATTTGATTTGAATACAAAACATTTGAGATTTGAATAATCTCGTTTTAATTTTTTAACCGTTGGTCACCATTCTTACGTTGTAGCATCTTAAAATGTGGTTAGAAATGACGTTTTTTTTTGATGATTTATGTTGACTTGTCAACATATTGCAGTCAGGAAATATTTTGTATTTTGTTTGAGCTTTTAGTTGGTTTTGTGAAATTTCGTTCAGTTTTTGCGGTTTATTCCCAATTTTGCTGTAATCATTGTCACTGTAAAAATGACTTGCAGGGCTTGACATGATCATATTGTCTTCTAAAACCAAGTTTTAACAGTCTTCTACTTACTTCCTTGGCACCTTTAAAATTCTCCTGGTTTTTCACAAAAACAAAACTTTCTGAATTCAAATTCTTTCAGGAAAAAATGAGAAGTTGTTGAGTCTGTCGGTATATATTCGGGCACTTATCTTACATATACGATTCCTCGGAAAATTTTTACCTCATGAAATGATTTTGTACCGTATTATAACCATAATGATCATCTGTGACCAAATGCCGGACACTTTGCGTCCATAATATTTTTTATGTGCATAGTTTAATTCATTTAAATTAGTTAAATAATTATTCTCTCGCTATTTAGCGAAATGCAGTACGAATGAAGTATTATTTGTTCATAAATTCATCAGGTGTTTTGATGTAATGGAAAAAGTGCTTTTCTCGTATCATGGTATGGTGAAATGGGTCCGCTTCGCTTTTCGGTTTATTATATTTTCCATTTGAATTGTTTAAAAACATCATTAAAGGTTTTTTTTGGGTTTTTGTAGATTGGGTGACGAATCTTAGTGTTGGATAAATCGAACATGGAGTATTTTACTCTCTCCACTTAGTGCAAATTTTCGGTTTCATCTGATCACGGACACATTTCTTTAGTCTATTAATCCATTTCTGACTTGGGTACTCGGTAAAATGCTAAATTTACTGGGAATTGTTAAAATTTGTTTTGTTTGACGAAATTGCTTCCTGGAATTTTTGAAATTTCGTCTTTAGATGATAAATTTTTCATCTATTTTCTATTACACAGTTTTATAATGTTGTCTACGATTCTTTGTGATATTCATCCCATGTCACACAGTTCGCAATTTATTTGTAATGGTTTCATCTTTCATCGTTTCTGATCTTACCACAGCAAAGTAATTTTGTAATTTCGTACTCTTTTTGTGAATTTTCACTATGTAATTAAAAAATCGTGTGCTTATTTTTCTATCATTCCTATGTCTGTGCTACAAGAATGAAATTAAATACTTAGGTTCAAGGTTTTTAAATTCCACTTCTTGCTATGAAGTTCCAGTTTTCGATTGGCCATTAAATGGGTTCACTGAGCAATTATTTGATAATAATAAACGAACGGGGATTTAAAGAGTAATCGTCATAAAGTTAAGTCATTTTTAGGGCCCCATTCGCTAGTTGAATCTTCTGGCATTGAAATCGATAGCGGGAAAAATGCAAATTTATGCTAAACGGTGTCGGAAGTATAATTTTTTCCTAAAGCAGTTATAAGCTTCTGAATTTTTAAAAAACGTTCCTGAAATATGAGTGAGTGAGAGATGCAGAAACCACTTTATATTTGAATCATTCTGTCTAATCAGCGGTTCGCAGGAATGCTCATTTCGTGATTGCGTGAATGGAGTAGTATTCCCTGACCCTTAATTCTTTAATTTAGATTCCCTCAAATGCAGGCTAGTAATCCATTTGATTGAAATTGGGAAGTTTTCGCAAGCTAAATTCACTTATTGATACCTCCTGGGAAATTTACTTATAATGAGTCAACTATTCCCTTCAAGCAAGCAAGTAATTAATTGCCATGAGTAAGAAATCTTGTTGACGAACAAATAATATTTAGTACAAGCTTGTAAATCTATTTTAAGCCGTAATCCATTTTTGATAGACTGCATGAACCTTATGCAATATTCCCTTGATTATTTCAATGCCTAATTTGCTTGAAATTTTAATTCAAAAAGTGCCCGGGAATTTTTTTTCAAAAATTACTCTTTTCGTAGAATAAGTTCAGCATGACATACCGTTCGACACTCTGTAACTTGTTTTTCTTCGCTAACATCTTCAGTGACCCATGCCATACCTTTCTGGACATAATGCATGATATGAACTACTGGCGCTAACATTGCAGTTGCTGCTCGATTTCCATTCCTAAAAGTGAAATTTTTAAGATAAAATTGAAATATGAAAAAATTGTTGCAGCTGAAGTTTAATTAATGCCAACTTCTCTCTTAGTAGGTAAATAAATTATTCATCAGTCAGAAATTGAAATAAAACAGAAGCAAAATGTACTTCTATTTTCAAATCTCATTCCAACTCGAGATTTGAATGAAAGCTGTTTCTTTGCAGAACAGTAGAAATTTATACGATCTCTTCCTACTCTTTTCTTTTTCATCTCTTCAGTTACGTTATTGCAATCATATCTTACCTGAATCGTTGTGCAATATTATCTTCTCTACATGCAGATGTTGAAAATGTTGTTTCATTAATATTGGAAGATATAGAACGGCGATAGAGCTGTTGAAGATGCAATTCCTAAAAACCCATAATTTGGGTTAAACATAAAAAAATTTTTTACTAAGAAAAATTGAATTGAAATTATAAATTCTTCTACTATATGATTTATGTTAATATAACTCATTCTGTTAAATGCTTTCTTCAACAAACACTTTCATTTTGATTTTATGTTAATATAATTTATTCTATCAAATGTTTTCTTCAATAAACATTTTGATATGATTTTAAATTATTCATAGAAAACATTGACAAACCTGAAATAGCAAACAAAATTTGACATACCACGAAGGATTTTTGCATGCATTCCGATTAACAATACAAAAGGCACATGTAATCATTATACCTAAACAATTTCTTTTTTTAAATCTAATGATTATATTTAAATTTTTAGCGGATATGTAATGAATAATTTGAAAATTAATTCTCTCTAAAATCAAAACATGGCGATATTGAAGGTCGTAATTATTCAAATTCAAATTTATATTTTTCGCCAATTAAATTAAGCGGTATTTTATTTCTCTTTTTATTCATTTTTTTTACATCGTTGAAATTTAAGGTTGTTTTGTATTCTTATGAAATTTTGACGATTACCTACAGTGCAAAGCAATATCATGTATAGGCCGAAGTTATAATTTTCCAAATCGATCATAGCCAATACCGTACACATACAAATAATTACAATTAATATAAGTATAACAATACAAGCATGGAACATTTCATCCACCTTTAATTATCGATAATGAATTAATTGAAACACTAAGGGAAATGGGATTTCTGATGGAATATAGTCTGCGATCAAATGTAAAATTCATAATAGTTCGTAACATCAAATCGGTTTTTTCCTAACAATCTGTTAGGGTCATAGTGAAAATTTTTAATCAGTATTAAGTGTAAAAATTATGAAACAAAAATTGAGGACATCACCAAAATTTTCGAATTTTAATTTTTCCAATTTTAGCAAAAGCGTATGCAAAATAGACATTAAAGATTATAAGATTAATTCTTCTTATATAGAATAAGCTAACAATAAAGTGTTGACTTCATGATCTTTAACTGACAGGAACAAGAAGGAAAATTACTTGCTCCGATGACATTTTAGGTGTGACAAAAAGTTAACAAACTATATAGCTCTTATCACTCATTCGATTTAACACGTTGATATTGTGCTGAATTTTCCGCTAGAGTTCGAAAGTGCTTTGATGCAAATCAGGAAATTACTCAAACGAAATGACTCAGATGGAATAAATAGAATGATACGACGAACTAAAATTGCTAATTTTTATCAGCAGAATCAGTTAAGTATTTTGATAGTCCTCTTCGATGTATTAAATTTAATAATCGAATAAATTCGTTCCTTAGGGGTCAGATTTAAACAAATACAATTTTATGAATCCATATTTATCAATCTTCTGGATGTTTAACTACAACAACAATGATAAAACATTACAGAAAAAGTATCATTGAGGAAAACGGCTATTAGGCAAATCTAATAAAATGCCTTACTAATGACAGGTGTATCCCTAATGACAGTATACTTCTCATGAAGTAGTCTTTAAAATATGAATAATCCCATTTTTCTGTGGCCAAGTTATAACCAAAAGACATTATTAATCCATTCTTTTAGGTATGAAAAGGAAGGATATTTTATCGTTAAATATGATAGCTGATAAAATACAGAGAAATTATCGATTTCCCTGAGAAGAAGAAGGAACTGGCAAAGAAATTAAAAATGCTTTATGCATAATTAATAACAGAAAAGTGTGTTGACGTTCTCGATGAGAAGAAGTAAAAGTATATTAGACAGTTCATAAATTTGAGTGAGAATTTATTTCAGCATCTCTTCCTCATTAAATAATAATTGTATTGTTCTGATATAACAAAGATTAAAAAAGAGTTTCAACTGTCACATGCCATCTTAATTTTAAATAATAGAACGAAATTAGTATTTTAATTTTTAATAATGGAACGGAATTACTATCTTATATAAATTTTTCTTTAGCATTAAGTCTTTCAAATAAATATTTTAACAGTTAAATCAGATAGAAGTAAAGATGAAAATGAAAATTGTTATATACTCAACAACTATTTTCAAACGTTGCAATAATTTGTAAAAATTTTCAAAAGCTCATTTTTTCAAAAACTAATTAAATTCTTTTTTGTTTTTCATTCATCTATCGCTACAGCTCCAATAAATGAAAAATTAGTATTCTATTTTTTTTATTAAAAAATTTGAAATTTCAGCTTCAACACAAATCCTTGAAATTTTTCTTTATTTTTAAATGAAGGCGTTTTTTATATCTGCATGTCTTACAATTATAATTGCACGTATTAGTTGTTTTCGCAATTTATAATTATGGCAAATATACGTGCATCTATTAGTTGTTTTCTCAATTTATAATTATGGCAAATATACGTGCACCTATTAGTTGTTTTCGCAATTTAGACTTTCGATGAAAACTCTGACTGACTTTGGAAATTTATAATAATGTGGCAGTATAGCAACACAATGTAGAATAGCATAAAGCAAACTGTTGAAGATACAGTGAAATTTTAGCACATAAAACGGCTGACTAATTTTCTTTTCAAAAATTCGTCATACTTTTGCAATTATTCTTTTTAATTTTTTTAAAAGCATCACCAATTTTTTGGAATAAAAAGTTTTTGAGAGAAAGTTAAAATAATAATAATAAAAATAAATGATGTGACGATATATTGCTATCACTTTGATATCAATTAATTTACATTTAATATCAGAATTGATCAATCAATCATCCGTGAAAAATTAACAAAATGAATTAGTGCCTTCTAACGTATACCTTCTCCACCGTCCGATGTGTCTTCCGAATCTCATCATGTTAAAAATCAATATCTCCTAACATATGCGAAGTAAACTGGTTGGTAGCAAAATTTTCAAAGAAAGTAAAATTTGAGGAAGTTCAATTTTAAATTGTAATTAATTTAATTGAATATGGAGTAAATTGTTAATCAAATACTATAATCTATCATTGCTCTGATCAATGAATTTGAGATTGGCCCAAGGATGACTATGGTTTCTCCATATCATGACAAAAAGAGAAAAACTGACTGCTTTAAGTTAAGAATTACACTTGTCTGTAAAACACTGAGCAACTTTGAAGCAACGATGTTCTTCCATTCATTTTGTAGCGTTATCCCAGAGAGTGTGAGTAATATTGATTTCCCTTTTTTTTTACCAAAATATGTATATAGCCATATACCTTCCCACTAACAATTTTAATTCAAATTATCCAAGAATAAGATTAAAACGATCAGCGACTGGATCATGAATAATTCGATGAAGTTTCTTAATGATGCTCATTGCCTTAAACACTAAATTGACCTCAGCAGAGCAATTTTAGATTTCCTTTAATGAAAAAGCAAATGAAGTTTTAGTGAAGAAAATTCCCCATAATTTCTGTTGGTTACATATATTTTCTTGCAGAGGATTTCGGTGATTCATCACGGCATAGGTAAACTTATCACAACTTTATCTTTATTCACAATCACAACATCTCGAATAAAATGAATTTCAAGCAAGAAGGGAAAATAAATTTTAATTGAAAATTAAGAACGATCCCAAAAATTTAGGTTTGAAAGAGTGCTAAACAAGATTGATGTAGAGTAAGTGTAAGGAAACTCCGCAAAAATGAGAGGATTTACATTTCTTCAAGGGAGATGCATCGCGGCTTAATTTTAAACATCTTTCAAAGTCATAGATCAACTGATAAATTAGCTAAACTTGTACAATTCAATCAGTAACAGCTTGGAATTTTCAGCTATTAATAATTGAGATGTTTCGTCAAACTTAGCGGGAAAAAAATTACTACCACGGTCGAAGATTAGTTTTGTCGCTAAGATGAGATGCATCACCGCTGAGTTCTTTGATATAACCACCCTTCGGTTTTTTGACAAACTTTGATACTGTTGCTTGGCCAACGTATTTCCAAGAACCACCCAGCACTTCATGGATTGCACCAATTGGAGCCCCATGAGACACAAGTAACACTTCAGTACCTATAATAATCAAATAATTTCAAAATTATTCCTCCTCACCTTATATGAAGAAAAATAAATGATTTATACTTTTTTAGTTTCATAATCAAGTTTGTGTCTCTGTTGTGTTCTCAATTTAATATCTCTTTTAGAAAGCATGCAAGTGCATAAATTCAATGACTAGGTTTAACCATAATTTTTTCTGATATGTTTGTTTGCTAGTATTAATTACCTGGAAAACGTTTCTCAATCCCTTCCAAAGTCATTTGTACACGTGGTGTGCAAGCTTTATCGCCGTCACCTTCTGAAGGAAGCTTCCACGGCATTACAGACTTATAACATGTATCGACAAGTGGATATTTCCCTTTCAGAATATTCAGATCTTCATATCCGGGAGGGTCTTCACACATATACAATCCCTGTAAGAACTTTACTCAAATTAGCGGTGAAAAGCTGATCGAAAATGAGTGAATGAAAAAGTAAGTAAGAAGTAAGTTCCGCAACAAATAAATTCCATACCAAAGATCAAGCAATAAAATACCATCACTTTCCCTACAAGTTCCTCTTTTACTGCAATAAAAAAAGTAGAGGGGCTGATAGCGTAAAAACCATATATCGACCTCGCATAATCCCGGTTCAACTTTAATGGTAGCATTGTTGTGGCCTCGCAAGAGTCGTGTAGCTGTTTCAAGAGTACGATCAAAAGGTGAAACAAAGATATGATCCAAATGAATGTTACTGAAACGAACAGCAAGCTCATCTGCTTGTCCTGAAAATTAATTCTCAACACATATCATTATGAAGCAATATTTTCAAAATTTTAATCATTTATCAATTTCGAATTAATGATATGAAAAAACTTTAGTTTTTGCTTTTTGCTATTGAATTCATCCCAAACGGATTTTAGTGGTGTTCTTATCTGGTGTAGTACTTATCACTACATTTCCTCTATCACTGCACCCATTATCTCAGCGTAATCACTTTGAAACAATGATTTAACAAATAAGGAGGCCATTCGGTGACCCGAGAGTTTTCCTCTCCCAAACATGATCAGATAATCTCGCTCTATTGTCGACTAATAGCTACGGCAGTTTTAATTGATTATCAACAATTAACGAGCCTTGTCCCCTTTTCGACAACGGCGAATTATCACTCTTTAACGTCGAACTACTTTGCCACGATGAGTTTATATTGTCCTCACGTTCGGCGTGTCGCACAACCCAATAAGTCATCGAAACCATGATGCTCTCTATCCCTTCCGAAAATCGCCTGGAAATATTTTTTGGTCTCAAATGCACCAACTGGCAAAGAAGCATTCGAAACATTACTGTGGAAACAACAAGGAATTGCGAAAATACGCGGGCATTTGAGGAGATGAAATTGCAAGCCCATTTCGGGACAACGAGTAAGATACCAACACTTAAGGACAATTTTAATTCACTGTCATCCAGTAGTAGAAAAGGTTCAACTGCACAAGATGGCTTCGGACAATTTCTCCAATTTGCTTAATGCGTATCTGATGACAAATCTAATCTAATTTCATCTGAAAGCATCTTTAGTAATCTACTGATCAAGGAAGTTTCTGGAATAGGCTATATCGATTTCGAGAGATTCTGAAATCATGTTGTACTTTGCAACCTTTCGTGAAAAGTAATGAAATTTGAGAACTGTATGACGAATAAATGGACAATATGTTCTACTATTGCTAGGTATGTATCATTGATAAGGCTTCATCTGCTTGCATCGTTTTCGCAGAAATACATTACATTTTTATCTTAAGTAAAGTAAATTTCTCCCTTGTTGCTGTAATGATACAATGATTTCATTAAGGTAACCAAAGCAATCCATTATTAATTCTTTATCGATCCGGAAATGTTCAATTGTCCAATTGATGTATCGAGCGATACTAACAACATTCATTTATACTGGGATATGAAGCAATTTACTTATTGTATGCTGTTCCCTACAGTATTGACATGATTAGCAATTGTAATACAATCTTGAAAAATAACTGAATAGCGTCTTCTAACAACAAAAAGCGAAATAATTTGAAGCAGTGACATTTCGAACAAAAAAGTGTACGCTTTTTTCCCATTTGCATTTTCACGTCAATTTAAGATGAAAAGTATAGTTCATTTTTATTCAAGATTTTTTCTTTTTGATGCATAAAGAAATAAAACGATTTGCAGGAAAAAGTAAAAAGAGAACCCTTTTTTCTAAAAATGGATAGTTTATTGTGAAGACATCCATTTGTCATGTAAATTTATCTTGAAGCCTTACAGCAAAATTGCTCGTTTTGTTATGCAGATCATCATTTTCGAAACTTAAATAAATATCCAGAAATTTGTGCCGGTAGCTATTTTACAAAAAAAAAAAATGATACCTTCTCTTCTATTAATTGTACTTTTAAATTTCTTCTTGAATGTTTCATGCGGTGAGTCCTTCTTCTTCATTTGAGAGCTCATATTCTCGATTGCTTTCTACAAAGAGAACAGATAAATCTTTACGTTTTTTCTTAATAGCTAATTGTTCAAGTCCAAAGTATTCTTGGCAATCGCTACTTCTAATACAACTTTTTTTGTTTTTATTTCTCTTCATGATTACTGAAAAACTAATATTCAAACCGGATATGCTGCTATGCTTTCCTTATTTTTGAGAGTTTCACAAATTCTTTTATATACTAGAACTCAACTTATTTATTGAAATTAGAACTTTATCTTTTTCTTTTTATTCTTTATGTTACACCTTCCTCTTTTTGAAATTTATTATTGGTATTGGTAGAGCGAATACTTTTTATGACTTAAAAAAATAAAAAATAGCCAATATGTTTTCAGAAAGATGTAGGACTAATAATGACTGCGACAGTGGAAGATGTGAATGGCGTCGCTGTGTTGGAAAATTAGGCAAAGTGATGTCCGGTAGAACGGAAATTACAAGTAAGCGTTCGTATTGTGCTGCTCAGTTACTTCTTGTATATATGTGCATATACATATATATATATTATTTATTTAAATCTGTTTTGTCAAACTAGTTTTTTAAAAAATTAATGTATGCATAGGTGTCATTGAACAAATTACGAAGCTGATGGCGAAGATTGCCGTATAAAAATATTACTCTGCAAGTTATGGAAGCCAAATAGATGCCACAATTCCTAGTCCATTCAGTTTTCTTGAAAAATGATAAAATTAATTTGAATTTTTGATATGAAAGTGAAATAACAAAATCCATCTTACTTAAAGATTGTTACGTTGATGAGGATTGCGCCACAGGGCAGGTATGTCAGAGTGGTTCATGTCGGCAACGCCTCCCTTTGATGCAGGATATAGTTAATGTTGAACGTGGTTAGTTATCATGTAATTTTGCTTCATCATTATGTTTTCATACTGTTAGATTGAGGAATATAAGGCTTGGTAAGTGGGGTTCTTATATTTACAAGTTAGTAGATCTGCTTGCAAAAATCTTCGTGGAATTATATGAAGGTAACAGTGAATAATAAAGAAGTGATGATTATAATTACGGCTTGAAGCGCCCTATTATATTCCTTTTGAACAAGGAGAACAAAGCAATCAAAATTTTACAACTACTTGGCAATGAAGCGCATCCCTCTTGAAACAAAAGGAACTTAAGCGGTCAAGAAATTCGCTATTTGATATTTTACATTTAACATTATTCACATCCTTTGGAAACAATGAGAACTAAATGATCAAAGAAACCGTCGCTTAACCTTCACAATCATTTAATAATCGAAGCACATTATTTATGGTCCGTTGAAAACTATAGTACTTTTAGACTATTGAAGAACAATCATTCTAATGGAAATTTCTACATTTATACTGCAGAGAAAAAAATTCTATTAGAAAAAAATTTCTATTTTTTAATAGGTCATTTCAACAGGTTTGTATTTTGTGACTGTAAGTAATAACTGCTAGCTTAAGATCTTAAAAACTTTCGGTCCTTATCCGCTTCATATCCGCTTATCTGTTAAAGTTAAGTGTTCATATTCTGGAAAATCAAAATCTGAACTTGTTGGGGATTCGTTCTTTTTCTACATTTCGAAATCTCAGTCCATATTGTGTTACATCTATGCCAGTAACTATATACGTTATCCCACATTACTTATTGAACACATATTGGTAACGGCTGTGATACTGCAATTTT